GGATGGTTGTCATCACGGGGCCTCCCGAGGCTCAGTTCAAGGTGAGCTGGCTGCAAGGGCGCACTGGGGGCTGTGGGCCAGATGCACTGGTACAGACCATGGCTGGGGCAAGAGTGGGGGGGACCAAGGGGCACTCCAGAGCAACCCCTCCTGGCGTTTGCCTGCTGCCAGCCCGGGTTCGCCTGCCCTCTGCCAAAGCAGAGGTAGCAGGCAGAGCCCCCGTGGGAAGGCAGCAGTGTCTACAGCAGTGCCTTTCCTGGGCACTGGTCCCACCAGCAGGACGTCTGCGGCCACAAGCAGCGTGAAGGTGAAAGATGTGCTCGCTGCCTCACGCTCTCACTTGCAGTATTGCTTTTGAAACTGAAAACCTGGGCCTGCAGGGAGCTGCAGGTTGAGAAGAAGCAACTGTGAGATGCCAGTGCCATCAGGACTGGAAAGGACACCAAAGCAGCGAGGCCACATTGCTCGGTAGCTCCATCTGGGTGCTCCCTGCTAGGCAAGGAGAGCACCTTGCTCCCCAGGTCCTGGCTGTGGAGCCAGGTTCAACACGCTTGGCACAGCTGGAGGAGCAGGTTGGGTTTAATGTCCAGCTCTGGCTGTGGTAAGCCAAGCTTAGTCTCACCAGGTCTGCAAGCAGTGTGGGGTGGAGGGGCTTTATGTATCCTCTTGCAGGGAGCGTGGCCCTGATGCTCCTCTACCACTCCGACATTTACCTTGCTTCCTCCTCTGCAGGCCCAAGGGCGAATATTTGGGAAACTGAAAGAAGAAAACTTTTTTAACCCAAAAGAAGAGGTGAAGCTTGAAGCCCACATCAAGGTGCCTTCCTTTGCAGCCGGCCGTGTGATCGGCAAAGGTGGCAAAACGGTACGATGGGGCGGGCCAAGGCTGCCAAGAGCCACAAGCTTACACGTACAACTACAGTTGTGCTTTTTCCTTTGGGGGTAGAGGAACAGCAGAGCGAAGCACTTGCCCCTGCCGTCTCTGGAGGGCACATCAAGCCTGCTGAATCCGGGGGCTGTTTCCGGCCTCTGCGATCTGGTCTGGAGCTGGCGGTGGCTCTCGCTGGGCGATGATGGTCCCTGAGGTGGGGCGGTCAGATCCTTGGCAGCCAGTGGTGGGACGAGGCAGGGGATACTGGTGCTGCAGCACAGCTAGGGTCAAGGATGGGAAGGCACAGAAAATAGGATTTTTAAGCCCTTTCAAGAGCAGCGGCACAAAACCGAGGCATCTTTCTTTTGGTTCAGGTGAATGAACTGCAAAACTTAACTAGTGCAGAAGTCATTGTGCCACGAGACCAAACCCCAGATGAGAATGAGGAGGTCATCGTTAAAATCATTGGGCATTTCTTTGCCAGTCAGGTAAGGTTTTGAAATGTCTTCTTTTATATTCCTAGCTAGTTGGATCCTTGAAGGAAACCTGTCAGTCTCGCCAGCAGGCACCAAACATATAGCTCTGTGTGGGCATCCTTGGTTGTACGTGAGCATCTCTGTTTTTGATGGCTCCCTCAAATCCTGGAGGCATTAAAGGTATTTCAGCAGCTCTCCCCAGGTGTACTGGCACCAAGCTTAAAGGTAGCATTAGTCTAGCTAAAACGATGCATCTACAAAGCATCTTAAACGCCCCACATGGTGGCACCCAGGGTGTGAATCCTCTCTTCCCCCAAGCCCGTGCCTGTTTCTAGGGGTTGTATCCAAAATGCCAGAGCTGGCAAGGGGGCCCACTGGACTGAGCTCCCACAGAGACACCTAAACCATAGGCGCGTGATGTTAGAGGAGACAAATCCCACCGCAGTGCAGAACCCCCAGCCTGCTCCCCTACCTTCATGTGCAAGTAACTTCAAATAGGACAGCATCCCCCCCCCCCAAAAAAAAAAAAAAAAGAAATTCACCCTTGGAATCACTGCGGATGTGAAAAAAAACTACAAGCTAAATACACACATTGCGACCTAGTGCTTGTTAAACGATGTTGCTTGCCCTTCGCAGAGGTATGCTGAGCCTATTCCCACCAGAGCAGGTCAGGAAGAGAGCACCTATTTTGGGACTCATCCTGCTTTTATAGTGCAATGCAAATGTGCAGCCCCCTGCTCGGGCCGTAAGAGCAGGAACCTTCGCCGAGTGCAACGTGGGTTGGCTCTGTGCGGCAGCAGCGTGGAGCAGTGCATCGTTTTTGTCCTTTAATTCCCATCCCCTTCCCATTGGGGGGGGGAGGAGGGGTTGTCCTGGAAG